GTGGAAGGATCACCTGAGCCCAGCAGGTCGAGGCTGCAGTGACCGTGAGCATGCCACTGCCCTCCAGTCTGGGTGACAGAGTGAGACTCCAACTCAAAAAAAAAAACAAAAAAAAACAAACAAATGCACTGAGACGTCTCACTCCACCCCTCTCCCTGCCCACAAGAAGAAACCACCGCTTTACTGGCCTTTTGTGGATCCTTGCAGGGTTGTTTCTTCATGCAAATGTGAGCAACATGAGCATGTATTTTTTCACTCTTCCCGCTTCCTTACCATGCACATGACTGTACCTGGCTCTTTAACTTAACAAGCCCTTCTGCTGAACTGCTTCCTTAGTCTTTTTCTTTTTTTTTGAGTCGGGGTCTCACTCTTGTCACTCAGGCTGGACTGGTGGCTCACTGCAGCCTCAACCTCCTGGGCTCAGAAGCTTCTTCTGTCTCAGCCTCCCGAGCAGCTGTGACCAGAGGCACATGCCACCATGCCTGGCTAAGTTTTTTTCACTTTTTTTTTGTAGAGATGAGGTCTCCCTATGTTGCCCAGGCCGGTCTCGAACCCCTGGGCTCAGGCAATCCTTTGGCCTTGGCCTTCCAAGTTCTGGAATTAGAGGCTGAGCCACCATACTCAACCGACCTTATTCCTTTTTTTTAAATAGCTGCATAGTATTCCATAGCGTGGATGGACAAGTTTACATAACTGATCCTCTAGAGAGAGATACTTGGGATGGTTTCCATTTGTTGTATTACAAACAGTGACTGAATAAGCAGCCTTCTGGGAGCGGCTCCCAGAAGATGGCTGGACAGAGGGTGAACTTGTTTGTAACTGTGCTAAATGGAATTGCCCTTGTAACAAACTCCCTGTGATTCTGACAGGTCTGAAAGCTCTCCACAATGCAGCCCTGGGGCCAGTCGCCCTCCCGCCAGCCAGCCAAGCCCTGCCCGTGGCAGCCTCACCTGGTCGAGTTTGGCATACCAGGTCCTATAGGCCTTGTTTCCAAATCGCGAGGGCTGGTCCACTGGAGGAGTCTCGTCAATCCACCTGTCCAGGGTGTTGAGAAGAGCGACCAGCTTCTCAATGGCCTGTGAAGGCAAAAGAGTGGAGACCAGTGCAGTGATCCATGGCCCCAGGCTAGCGCCCAGAGGAGGTCTCAGCTGCTACTGGACCATGAGCCCTCGGTGCGGCACCAACTGGCCATTCTCATCCATCCCCCTCCTTTCCCCATGGTCCTGAATATGAAGGAGGTCTGGGGAACATGATGAGATTTCCAGAGGGAAGGGCCTTAGGTGGCGGGACAAGGATGGTGGCTTCAGCACGTGGTTTCCACAGCCAGCCCACCCAGGGGCAGCTGCTGGACAGGCACAAACTCCAGCCCTGACCCTTGGAAGGAGAGACCTTCCTGAGGTCTTCCTTCTTTCCTTCACTGAGGTCTCTGTTCCGTGCACAATACCTACTCGCCACAAATACAGAAACAGAACCCGGAGGAGTGAAAATGGCCATCAACACTGCCGCCCAGAAGCAAACGCTACGAACATGTTGACATGCCTTCTGTGTTTCCCTTTTATAGTGTTTCCTGTTGTTTAGCACGGTAAAATTTTCAAGGCAGATGGGCCTGGATTCAAGCCCCAGTTAAGCACCATTTAGTTGCCATGAAACCTTGAGCAAGTGACTTTAACTCTCTGAGCCTCAGTTTCTTCATCTCAAAAACGGGGCTGAGGATAAATCCCTCCCAGGTGCACAGGACCAGCAGGGGACATACAGCACAGGGTGTCTATTTCTGCACGGACACATGCTCTTGACAAGGGTTGCTCCTCCCCCATCAACCCCATTCCACGTCGACGTGGAAACCAAGCCTCACGCCAACCTTTCTGAGTGGCTAAGACTTCACTGTTTCAGTGCATCACGACTCACTGACTAGCTCCTCCCTGCTGAATGTCAGGGTTGCTTCCAGCGGTTTCACTGCCACAAACACCATCAGAGTAAACACTCTTGCAACGCAGCCACTGTGGAAATGCCCGTCTCCGTGGGAGTGGCTCTGCAGAGTCCCTCTCCCTACTCCTTTCCCATGGAAGACGGGCCCAGGAGTGAAGCCGGAGACACAGGTGCGGCAGCATTGGCACACAAGCTGTTACTCAACGAGGGAGCCAGGTTATCCATCCAAACCAAAGGTCTGTGAGGGCGGCTAGCAGTGCTCCCTGCAGGTGAGGCTCGCAGAACAAGGCCAGCACCGGGCTGCTGGGAAGTGCCATGCCGAGGCCACTCAGTCGGCAGCCTTGGGAGAGGATCCCCGCCTCTCCCTGCATCTGTGGGAACAGATGGCGTAAGGAGAAGCCTCTGGGAGGTTGTGGCATGGGCGATGCCCACGAGGCAGGCTGTGCCTGGGAGGGCGAGGCTGCCAGGCCTGCCACGTGCGCAGAGACTCTGCCACAGCTGCATGTGTGCTGGATAGGAGCCTGGGATGGCAGAATCCAAGCTGGCCACGCCCCAGCTGCGCAGCTCCAGGAGGCACAAAGTACAGTGCACAAAACACAGGTGTCAACGGCGACCCCTGGTGTTGTGCAACATGATAACGCCCCGGATGCTCCTGCCCTGGTTCCCTGTCCCTAGGCTCCATCGTGGGTGCACAGGAGTGGCCTGTGAGGAGAGACACTTGTGTACACCTGGGTGAGGGAAAAGGCCGGGGTGGCATAAAGCCGCCTCACTGACATGTGACCAAAGGCCACCAGAGCCTGTCTTTGTGAAAAATCAGGTCACCTGGAATGGCTGATAAGCTCAGGCCAGACCTGACCCCAGCAGCACCACCATCCTGCCCCAGGAAGTACCAGCAAGTCCAGTTCCCTGGAGAGCTCAGTCTCAGGCAGGCACCAAGGGGAGGGAGGAGAGGGAGGGGCTGCAGGATCCAGGACCAGCTGGGCCATGAATAATTAAGGGACTCCTGGCTCCCTTCTGAAGAGGGCTTCTGAATTCAGGGGCTGCCTCTTGTTTGGCAGTTGGGATAGAAAGGCTGGGGGAGGGAACCGGGCTGAACCCACAAAGACCATCCTCAAAAAGTTAGCCAGGTGTGATAGTGCATGCCTGTGATTCCAGCTACTTGGAAGGCTGAAGCAGAAGGATCGCCTGAGCCCAGAGGCCAAGGCTGCAGTGGTCATGAGTGTACCATAGCACTGGGCGACAGAGTGAGACTCTGACTTAAATAAAGACTAGCTTCAGCTGCCCCTCTCTCCCCAGATCTGTGCTTCCTTTGAGTTTCATGGACTGATAAACTCTTCCCTAAAACTTTACTAGCCAGTTTTTAATTTTGCCCCCTTAGTACAAAAAAGACAAGCAGAACAGCTGCCAAGATAAACCTCCTCTCTCTTGTCACCTTTATTTTGCCAAAATCAAGTATCTTTGCCCCCACGGAGCAGAACAGGCACAATCACAAGAGAGAGGAGGGCTTTTTGACCACAGAGCAAGACCAGCTCACACTCTCACCCCACTCTCTTTGCTTTGAGTGGCGTGGTGGCCGAGAACCGCACTTTCTGCCGCCTGGCTGTGGCGGAAGCTGGGAGCCCTCTGGAGACCACAGGGGCCACCTCTGCCCACCACGTGAGCGGGAGAGCACGGGAAGAGCCCCCAGTGACTCAGCGACGCCACTGCAAATGAGAGCTGAGTCATATCTGATAACAGCTAACCACAGGAGAGGCATTCAACATATGCCAGGCACCATGCAGAAATCCTCCCTCAGCGGCCCCTCCCCGTGGACCGCGTGTAGGTCTGTTGACTCTTACCACTCTGCATGTGAGGAAACAGGGTCAGAATGGAAAGGCCACCAGTTTGGAAGTGATGGGCTATTAAATCAGGTCACAGCCGGGCTCGGTGGCTCAGCCTGTCATCCCACACCTTTGGGAGGCTGAGGTGAGTGGATTGCCTGAGCCTGCGGGTTCAAGACCTGCCTGGGCAGCAAGACCTCATCTCTACAATAAATCAAAAAATCAGCCAGGCGTGGTAGCGCATGCCTGTAATTCTGGCTACTCGTAAGGCTGAGGTGGAAGGATCACCGGAGCCCAGCAGGTCAAGGCTGCGGTGGCCAGGAGCGGCCACTGCACTCCAGTCTGGGCGACAGAGTGAGACTCCAACTCAAAAAAATAAAAAAATAAAAATAATAAAAAATAATAATAATAAAGCAGGTCGCCCAACTCCAGAACCCAAGCGTGGCACCAAGCACCTGGCAGCCCTCCCAGAAGAACGGCTGGAGCCAGGACAATACCAGGTTTGTGTGGACTTCCACCATCAAAGCTTTGGGGCAACTGGGCCTTGAGAGGGATTGGCAGCTGAGGACTGCGGGGGTAATTACACACCCACTTTCATTAGCCCTCCCTCAGGATGTGCCAGCCGCTGAGCACAGAGGAGCATCCTGGCCACAGGGCGCCAGGAGGAGCCCTTTCTTCCCAGTCACCCAGCACCCAGAGTCAAGTCCCAGAGCACTGGGTGGTCCAGAAGGAACTCAGAAGGCCACTGGTGGGCTGGCTCCCGAGGGAGGCTGTCAATTCCCAGCACGGACTCCCCTCAAGCAGATACCACTGGACCTTGGTCACCAGCAGGCGACACAGGCAGGAGGAGGCGGGTCCACCGGGGTGATGGCTGAGGTCAGTCTTGGGGCAGGTCCGTGGTCATGGCTACAGAGTGGAGCCAAGGCACCGATAGGCCACTCGGGCCCTGGCGCGTGAGATAAGAGGCTCAGTGTGGGGCTCTGGGCCAACTGGGACGTGAACCAAGAGGCCAAGGAGGCCGGGCCCGGGCCCCAGGAGATGGCACCCAGCAACAGCAAACAGCACCTCCAGGGGTTATCTGCCTCCCACAGCTGTGCTCTCCCTACACACAAGCCTGCCTCTGAACTCGCATCCAGAAAGCACCCACCTGGCAGCAAGAACCAGAAGGCAAAAACGCGTGTGCTGTTTTGTTTTGTTTTTTAGAGTCAGGGCCTCACTCTGTCACCCAGGCTGGAGTGCAGTGGTACGATCATGACTCACCATAGCCTCAGCCTGCTGGGCTCAGGAGATCCTTCCACCTTAGCCTCTGGAGTAGCTTGGGGCCACAGGCGTGTGCCACCATGCCCAGCTAATGTTCTGATTTATCGTAGAGACGAGGTCTCGTCAAGTTGCCTAGACCGGTCCTGAACCCCTGCACTCAGGCAGCCCTCTTGCCTCGGCTTCCCACAGTGCTGGGATGACAGGTGTGAGCCAACACGCTTGGCTTCATGGGCCCTTTGACTGAGCACTTCTGCTTTTTTTTTTTTTTTTGGAAAGCAGGTTTTGTTAAGAGGACAGAAAAGCTCCCCAGTGGGAGGGGACCCGAGGGGGTTGCCCGAGCATTTCTGCTTTTAGGGAGGAGCCTTAGGACCAAGGCTCGCACATCCACGTGTGGGTGCTCAGAGCAGCAGTGTCTAGGGGACAACCTAAAAGGCTACAGTGAGGGGCTGCTCAGGCCAGCAAGGGCACCCACTGAGGCCACCATCAGGACTTCCCGGGAACGGGGGTGAGGGACCTGGGAGAGGCCCACCGCTGCACCCATGCTCTGCACATGTCTACTAGCGACTCTCCAGTGAGCCCCTTACTTCCTCTGCAATCTTTTTCACTCCAGAAGAGCAAAGGCTGTCTACGAAACAGCATGTGTACTTGACCCTGACGGTGTAAGTAACCATCTAGTCACAGACGCTACACATCAGAAGCCCAGACACCAAAGTGCGAGTGTAGGTGTGTTCAGGCACTCTCACATGTGTTCTCCACACTGGTCCGTGGAGGCCTCTGGATCCACATGCCCCCGGCGCTACTTTGCTACCTTGGGAAGGCCGCACAGCAGCCCGTCCTACCTCAGAGACTCTGTGCGTGACGGTCAGCTTCTTCCCTTTCACGCCTTCGTTGAGGGTCAGGATGAATCCAATGTAGTCAGCGTAGGCCTGCCGGAGGGAGAGCGGGGACGAGGAGGGTGGCAGAGCCCACCTGGTCAGCGAGCCCCGGTGCCAGCAGGCTCGGAGCTGCCCCTGGCTCCCAGCGCAGGAGTAGGAGAAGTAGAAAGATAATGCCAAGCACCCTACCCCACCCTCCAAAAACACAGTAAACCAGTGGCCACAATGACACCCGATGGTGTTCACTCGGGCTTGCGGGGACACATTCTCTCTCTCTGTCTGTCTCTCTCTCTCTCTCTCCCCCCGCCTCCCCAGGACCAAGATCTCACAGACATGGAGCTAAGACCCAGGCAGCCTAACTCCACAGCTGAGTGTTTGGCCACTATGCTGGAGCACCAGAAGTGCAAGGAACACCACCAGGGCCCTCCCTCAGTCTTCCAGATGCTTTGCCCACCACAAGCAGGCCAGCTTGTCTGGCTGCAGGGTGGACGCTGCTCCCACAGAAAGAGCTGCTTTCTGTCCACAGCCAGGTCTCCAGCACACCCACTCCTGCTTCCAGCTGGACGCCCGCCTCCCCACTGGGCTGTGGCTACCCCACACGGGGATGAAAAAGCAGAAGTGCAGGCCCTGGAGAGGCGGCTGCTGGGGCCAGTGGCCCTGCTCTGTTGCTCCTTCACTCCTTGTTCCCTCACTTTCCTCCTTCTCCTCATCCAAGCCTTCTGGATCCTGGAGCATGGCAGCCAGCCCTGAAACAGACTCGAGGAGCAGCCACTTCACATCGGGAGGGTGCCTACCCATGCCCAGACCCTCCTGCCCGCCCATGGAGTGACAGCAGGCCAGCGACTCTCCCAGCCAGTCAAGTAGGCTGAACGCAAGGCCGAGAAGCGGCAAGGGGACATCGCGTGTTGGCCTCAGACACAGCAGGTTTGGGTAGGACAGTGGTGCTTGACTGGGGGGATATGGCTCCCAGAAGACATCTGACGAGATCTGGTTGTGACAGCTGGGGAAGGGGTGCTGCTGGCAGCTGGTGGGTGGAGGCCAGAGATGTAGATGCCCTACAATGCCTGGGACGGCCCGCTACCACAGAGAGCTCTCTGCCCCAAAATGCCAAGAGTGCTGAGTTGGGAAATGCCGAGGTAAAACAACCAGATGATGAAAGGACTCAGCCGTGTCCTTTAAGCAGCTGAAGGAACTGAGCTGTTCCCTGGGCTGAAGGGACTGTTTGATCCTGGTGAGGGCAGAAAAGACAAGATACCATCTGCAAATATTTAGAGGGCAGGCTTGTGAAAGAAGAACCAGACAGGCTTTGAATGGCCCCAGGCCCAGCGAGGACAGGGCACAGAAGTCCTGGGAGTGGGTATCCTAGAGAGCCTGCCAGGTGTGAGAGGACCCCATGCCTGCCCTTCTGGATGAGTGACACTCTTTCTGGCCCAGCAGACCAAGTCAGGGTGGACACCTAATGGGACTGGGCCCGAGGCCCTCCCCGAGAACCTGAAATGGGCTCTTTTTCTCAGTGCATCTTTCCACAGCTTATACCAGAAGCCTGGGAGGTATGGACTGCTGTTCTCTGCCCACCATTTGAGCTGAGCAGTCTGCCTGGTGCTTGGGGTCCTGGATTCTGGTACCTCTAGGCTCAGTCACATTCCTGGTGGAGACGTCCTAAGATAACCTCTTCTCTCTCTGCTGTGCCGGCTGCCACCCCTGTTGGCACTTACAGCCAAGCATCCAAGTGACCCGCTCCACCCTTCGGGATACTCGTGTTCGGCCAACACCGTGACACTCAAGGGCAGTGGAGTATGGAACCAGGAGCAGAACTCACCCAGCTACGCTGGCCCCAGGCCTCCTGACAGAACGTCTGAGTGCACCCCTTGGGGGGACAGCCAGCTTCTGCCACCTCGCTCCCTAGTTCCTGATGGCTCAGGTTCTCGCAGCCCCGCCATGCCCAGAAAAGGGCGGCCTCTGACCAAGCCCAAGCTTCTCGCCCCAGTTCTGACCCACTGGTACCTGGGAACGCTTCCATTTCCCCATGTCTGGAACTGTGTGAATCTCCTTTTTGGGAATGATGAAGTTCTGAGTGGCTGGAGGGGCCTCCTCCGAAGACTCTTGACAAAGAAAATGAAGAAGCAGTTAGGTCGACAGACATCCCCCCCAGCACACACACATCCATGCGCTCATTTTTTTTTTTTTTTTTTTTTTTTTTT